CTGAGGTTGCTGCTGCTGGTGTTGCTGCTGCTGCTGCTGCTGCCGTCGCTGCTGGCGCTGTTTCTGCTGCCCTTGCCGTTCATGCCCGTGCTAGTGGAGCTACTGCTGTAGCTGTTGCTGTTGCAGGTTTTGCCGCTGCTGTTAGTGCGGGTGCTGTAGCTGTTGCTGCTGCTGCTTTATCTGTTGCTGCTGCTGCAGCTGTTGCCGCTGCTGCTGCTGCTGCTGCCGGGATCAGTTGGGGGCCCCTCCCTGTGTCTGTAGAGAGGGGCCCCCTACGGTGGCGCCTAAAGCTGCCCTTTGTTTGGGGGCCCTCTGAGGGCCCCGGGGGCCCCTCTGCAGAGCAGCAAGAGCAGCAGCAGCAGCAGCAGCTAGAGGGCAGCCCTAGGCACGTCTTTTGGTGTTATATCTCTTGAAAACAAAATTAAAAAATTAATTAGAACCTGAGGGGTACTTTTAGGGGTCCCTGGGGCCCCCAAACTGGGGGGGCCCCCACCGGGGGCCCCAGACCCACCCGAGCGGGGTACTCCGATGAGGCCATGAGGGGCCCCCCGCAACGACTGGGGGTTCTTTTACGCCTTTAGCCCCGCCTTAATGCAATAAAAAAAAATAAATTAAAGTTTAATTTAGTAAATTTAACTCTCTGTTGCATTTGGGGGCCTGGGGGCCCCCTCAGGAGCCAGGGGGGCCCCCGACGCAGCTAGCCAACACAACCCTCAGGGGGCCCCCTGTGCCTGGGGGCCCCCTGCCACCTCTCTTCAGGACAGGGGCCTCCTCTCTAGGGGCCCCACCGGTAGTCTTCCACCTCCAGGGGCCCCCAGGGGGCCCCAGGGGCCCCCGGGCGCCCCTTGGTGATCACTAGAGGGTACTTCTTGGGACTGGCAGATGAGGACTTGCCTCCTGGGGGCCCCCAGGCAGCGGGTCCCACAAGGGGCCCCTCTCCTGCAGCAGGCCCTGCCCCACCCCGTGGGCACAAAGGGCCCCGGGGGGCCCCCCAGTGCCCTCCAGACCCGCCGCTGGGGGGCCCCCTACCCGGGGGCCCCTTCCCTCTTGCGGGGGCCCCCCCCCCAAGGGTGGGGGCCCCCCGAACTGCTGCCAAGAGGGCCCTCCGTGGCTGCTGCCTTAGGGGGCCCCCCCGGGCGTCGCGTGGGGACCCCTCCGGCGGCCTTTGGGGGGGCCCCCGGGCGCGTGGGGGGCCCCCAGGGGGCCCCCTTTTTGGCATTTTTCTTGCGTCCCTTCTCTTCGCACTTGCTGGCCCAGCTGGGGCCCCCCGAGCTGCTGCAGCTCGCCAAAGAGCTGCAGCAAGAGCCCCTCATGAAGGCTGAGCAGGGCCTTTCTGCTGCAGCTGTAGCAGCAGCGGTGCGGCGGGCCCAACGGGCCTGCCGGGGGGCCCCCACCCCGGGGGCCCCCCCG